GGTACACACTACCATCACTTCACTATCACTCGCAACATGGCAGGTACACATTACCATTACTTCACTATCACTCGCAACATGGCAGGTACACATTACCATCACTTCACTATCACTCGCAACATGGCAGGTACACATTACCATCACTTCACTATCACTCGCAACATGGCAGGTACACATTACCATCACTTCACTCTCACTCGCAACATGGCAGGTACACATTACCATCACTTCACTATCACTCGTAACACGCCAGGTACACACTACCGTCACTATCACTCGCAACACGCCAGGTACACATTACCATCACTTCACTATCACTCGCAACATGGCAGGTACACATTACCATCACTTCACTATCACTCGTAACACGCCAGGTACACACTACCATCACTATCACTCGCAACACGCCAGGTACACATTACCATCACTTCACTATCACTCGCAACATGGCAGGTACACATTACCATCACTTCACTATCACTCGTAACACGCCAGGTACACACTACCATCACTATCACTCGCAACACGCCAGGTACACATTACCATCACTTCACTATCACTCGCAACATGGCAGGTACACATTACCATCACTTCACTATAAACTCGTAACACGCCAGGTACACACTACCATCACTATCACTCGCAACACGCCAGGTACACATTACCATCACTTCACTATCACTCGCAACATGGCAGGTACACATTACCATCACTTGGAACTAACGACACGAAAACGAGTAACACTTGTTCACTTACACTCGTGATTACCTTTAGCGCAGAATTTCATTCACTCGGACAGGGACTAGATTATCTTCTAGTGTCTCTGGAGATTGACACAATGATCAAGCGTGTACGAATGTGCACGTCATTACTGTCTCTTCATCAATAAGGTTACGCACTTGCGGTGCCTCTGCGACACATTCACGCCATGGATATTAGTCGCAATCTGAGATCCCCAACCCGGCACTTCCTTGTTCAGAGTGGAGTTGCTGACTCTGTCTTATACACTTCCAGGACACAGGAGTAGAATAACTCTTTCTTGGTGTTCTCGGCGCAGGAAGAAGCCGTGTTTATCAAACAGGGGATGTTTTAAATTAGGGAAACAGCAGTTCCGTCATGCTTCCACTGGTATGTACAAGTGGGCAGGTACTCCAGTGTGTCTTGTGACGCCTCGTTCAACATATGTTTCTGATCTGTGTTGCCTTTGGAATGTTTCTTGATATGTAACACATGCAGCTGTTCGTGTGGGAACGAGCAACACTGTTCACAACCCTTCTTAAGAGTGTTGGCCCTCTCTGAGAGGGCTACCCACTTTAAAGAGGGTCAATACCTCCCCTTCTAGAGGGGATATCGCCCCCTTCATAAACTGGAGGTTTCGCTCCACAAAAACTCTTCTCCGGGCAGAGGGACTGACCACCTCTAAACTACATCATCAAGGGTGAAGGACTGATTACATCGTCTTCACATCTCTTCTGTATCGGAGTAAAGACACCTAACTGTTCCATATATGTTTTACTTACCGATCTTAAGAGGAACTGACAGGACTAAGAAAGACAGTGGTGGAGGCAGTGGTGGAGGCAGTGGTGGAGGCAGTGGTGGAGGCAGTGGTGGAGGCGGTGGTGGAGGCGGTGGTGGAGGCAGTGGTGGAGGCAGTGGTGGAGGCAGTGGTGGAGGCGGTGGTGGAGGCAGTGGTGGAGGCAGTGGTGGAGGCAGTGGTGGAGGCGGTGGTGGAGGCAGTGGTGGAGGCGGTGGTGGAGGCGGTGATGGAGGCAGACTAAGTACACAGCTTCAAGACTAGATATGATGAATTCCAAGAAAGCCAAAATTTATGTAGCCGATGAAAATTGCCAAGTAGACAGGGCCAGGAGCTGAGTCTCGACCTCCAGAAAACAAACTCGATGAAGACATAGTTGTACAAACATGACTGTACAACATCGTCTTGAGTACAGATGTGTTCATACGTACAAGTGTGAACAGCACCAGCTGCACGTACACGTGTGAAAAGCACCAGCTGCACGTACATGTGTGAACAGCACCAGCTGCACGTACATGTGTGAACAGCACCAGCTGCACGTACACGTCTCTGAACGCAGACGAACATAAACACGTGTGTACATACATGGATATACACACATGCGACTATGTTGGTAAACCTTGTGTTGGTGGACCTTGTGTTGGAGGACCTTGTGTTGGAGGACCTAGTGTTGGAGGACCTTGTGTTGGAGGACCTTGTGTTGGTGGACCTTGTGTTGGTGGACCTTGTGTTAGAGGACCTTATGTTGGTGGACCTTGTGTTGGAGGACCTTGTGCTGGAGGACCTTGTGTTGGAGGACCTAGTGTTGGTGGACCTTGTGTTGGTGGACCTTGTGTTGGTGGACCTTGTGTTGGAGGACCTTGTGTTGGAGGACCTAGTGTTGGAGGACCTTGTGTTGGAGGACCTTGTGTTGGTGGACCTTGTGTTGGTGGACCTTGTGTTGGAGGACCTTGTGTTGGAGGACCTAGTGTTGGAGGACCTTGTGTTGGAGGACCTTGTGTTGGTGGACCTTGTGTTAGAGGACCTTATGTTGGTGGGGCCTTGTGTTGGAGGACCTTTTTGCTGGAGACCTTGTGTTTGGGGACCTAGTGTTGGTGGACCTTGTGTTGGTGGACCTTGTGCTGGAGGACCTTGTGTTGGTGAACCTTGTGTTGGAGGACCTTGTGTTGGAGGACCTAGTGTTGGAGGACCTTGTGTTGGAGGACCTTGTGTTGGTGGACCTTGTGTTGGAGGACCTTGTGTTGGAGGACCTAGTGTTGGAGGACCTTGTGTTGGAGGACCTTGTGTTATAGGACCTAGTGTTGGAGGACCTTGTGTTGGAGGACCTTGTGTTAGTTAGAGGACCTTATGTTGGTGGACCTTGTGTTGGAGGACCTTGTGCTGGAGGACCTTGTGTTGGAGGACCTAGTGTTGGTGGACCTTGTGTTGGTGGACCTTGTGCTGGAGGACCTTGTGTTGGTGAACCTTGTGTTGGAGGACCTTGTGTTGGTGGACCTTGTGTTGGTGGTCCTTGTGTTAGCGGACCTTCTGCTGGTAGACCTTGTGTTAGTGGACCTTGTGTTGGTGGACCTTGTGCTGGTAGACCTTGTGTTAGTGGACCTTGTGTTGGTGGACCTTGTGTTGGTGGACCTTGTGTTAGTGGACCTTGTGTTGGTGGACCTTGTGTTGGTAGACCTTGTGTTGGTGGACCTTGTGTTGGAGGATCTTGTGATGGTGGACCTTGTGTTGGAGGACCTTGTGTTGGTGGACCTTGTTTTGGAGGACCTTGTGTTCGTGAACCTTGTGTTGGAGGACCTTGTGTTGGTGGACCTTGTGTTGGTGGACCTTGTGTTGGAGGACCTTGTGTTGGTGGACCTTGTTTTGGAGGACCTTGTGTTGGTGAACCTTGTGTTGGAGGACCTTGCGTTGGTTTGGACCTTGTGTTTGGGGGGACCTTTTTTTGGGGGGACCTTGTTTTGGTGAACCTTGTGTTGGAGGACCTTGCGTTGGTGGACCTTGTGTTGGAGGACCTTGTGTTGGTGTACCTTGCGTTGGTGGACCTTGTTTTGGAGGACCTAGTGTTGGTGAACCTTGTGTTGGTGGACCTTGTGTTGGTGAACCTTGTGTTGTTGGACCTTGTGTTGGTGGACCTTGTGTTGGTGGACTTTATGTTAGTGGACCTTGTGTTGTTGGACCTTGTGTTGGTGAATCTTGTGTTGGTGGAACTTGTTTTGGAGGACCTTGTGTTGGTGAACCTTGTGTTGTTGGACCTTGTGTTAGTGGACGTTGTGTTGGTGGACCTTGTGTGATTGGACCTTGTGTTGGTGAACCTTGCGTTAGTGGACCTTGTGTTGTTGGACCTTGTGTTGGTGGACCTAGTGTTGGTGGACCTTGTGTTGGTGGACCTTGTGTTGTTGGACCTTGTGTTAGTGGACCTTGTGTTGGTGGACCTTGTGTTGGCGGACCTTATGTTGGTGGACCTTGCATTAGTGGACCTTGTGTTGTTGGACCTTGCATTAGTGGACCTTGTGTTGGTGGACCTTGTGTTGGTGGACCTTGTGTTGGTGGACCTTGCGTTAGTGGACCTTGTGTTGTTGGACCTTGTGTTGGTGGACCTTGTGTTGGTGGACCTTGCGTTAGTGGACCTTAAAGTTTTGGACCTTGTGTTGGTGGACCTTGTGTTGGTGGACCTTGCGTTAGTGGACCTTGTGTTGTTGGACCTTGTGTTGGTGGACCTTGCATTGGTGGACCTGTTGTTAGTGGACCTTGTGTTGGTGGACCTTGTGTTGATGGACCTTGTGTTGGAGGGCCTTGTGTTGGTAAACCTAGTGTTGTTGGACCTTGTGTTGGCGGACCTTGTGTTGGCGGACCTTGTGTTGATGGACCTTGCGTTGATGGACCTTGTGTTGATGGACCTTGTGTTGGTAAACCTAGTGTTGATGGACCTTGTGTTGGCGGACCTTTTGTTGGTAGACCTTGTGTTGGAGTACTTTGTTTTGGTGGACCTTGAAGTTCTTGAGAAGAGTGTTAGAAGGATGAGGAGGAGGAGAAGGAGGAAGAGGAGAGAAGGAGGAAGAGGAGAGAAGGAGGAAGAGGAGAGAAGGAGGAAGAGGAGAGAAGGAGGAAGAGGAGAGAAGGAGGAAGAGGAGAGAGAGGAAGGAGAGAAGGAGGAAGAGAGAGAGGGAAGAGGAGAGAAGGAGGAAGAGGAGAGAAGGAGGAAGAGGAGAGAAGGAGGAAGAGGAGAGAAGGAGGAAGAGGAGAGAAGGAGGAAGAGGAGAGAAGGAGGAAGAGGGAGATGAAGACAATCGTGTCATTACGATTTCGTGAGTCATGGATTACCTCACTTAAGAGTTTCAGCAGACCTTCTGCATGGCATCTCATTACTCTCTCATCCAGTTCTTGTTGTTGAGAAGAGTGCAAACAGGCAAGGAAGAGGAGAAGGAGGAGGAGGAGGAGGAGAGAAGACAAAAAAGAAGAGTTGCCTCACTTTGAGTTCCAGTAGACCTTAGTGATGACATGATACGAGGTTCTCCTCCAGTTCTTCTTCTTGAGAATGTTGCCCAGTTGAACCTCTGCTCGACCTCCACTGTAAGCCTCACTCAGGTCGAAGAGGTTGATGCCGGCCTCGTAAGCCACTGTGATGATCTCCTCTGCTGTCTCCTCTGACACCTGAGGACTGAATGTCACCCAGGTACCTGTTGAGGCAGAGATCCAGTATTAGTAGCTGTCTCCTCTGACACCTGAGGACTGAATGTCACCCAGGTACCTGTTGAGGCAGAGATCAAGTATTAGTAGCTGTCTCCTCTGACACCTGAGGACTGAATGTCACCCAGGTACCTGTTGAGGCAGAGATCAAGTATTAGTAGCTGTCTCCTCTGACACCTGAGGACTGAATGTCACCCAGGTACCTGTTGAGGCAGAGATCAAGTATTAGTAGCCAGGTCCCTGGGAAGACAAATTCTTGTGAGAACCTTCATACTATTATCAGAAATTTTGTCTTGTGCTTATAATATATATATATATATATATATTATATATATATATATATATATATATATATATATATATATATAATATATATATTATATATATATATATATATATATATATATATATATATAATATATAATAATTATATATAATATATATATATATGTCGTGCCGAATATGTAAAACTGGTCAATTAGCAAGAACTCATTTAAAATTATGTCCTTTCTAAAATTTTCTCTTATACGTTTAAAGATATATTTTTTTCATTAATGTTAATGTAAAAAAAATTAATTTTGCACCAAAAGAATCTTAGAAAACTTACCTAACCTTATTATAACAAGAACAATTTATTTTAGCCTAACCCAACTAAATATATTTTAGATTTCTTTACAATAATTTAATACTAAACAAACACAGTGAAATATATTTTTTTCGTTAGGTTCAGAATGATTTTGGCGAAATTATTGCATACACAAATTTTCACTTGTCCTGTATGGCAAGATGAACGTTGCTATTTAAGCCAAGATCGCAAGTTCTGCCTATTCGGCACGACATATATATATATATATATATATATATATATATATATATATATATATATATTATATATATATATATATATATATATATATACATAGTAATGAAATCACGAGACAAGTGATTTTAAATCACCGGTGACACACAGAGGTAAGGTGATGTATGTATGTATGCATACACAAGCATACATACATACATATACATAAACATACATCTGCACACGTATACATACAAAGAATTACACACGAAGGTACACAAATATACATACACACAAAAATACATACTCACATGTACTGTATACATATGAATATGTACATTTGTACAGAAATCCATACACGAACATACACACACGTATACACAGTTATACTTCACTATACTGGAATTTTATGACCAGCTCCCAGTATACTTGTGAGTATATTAAGGTAGAGGAGGCGGAGCTTAGTGAATAATGGGATACCTTCCTGGGATCATACACAGACAATGTCATCAAGGTTCCACACTGGCCTCCACTTCGCAGACAGCTGGCAGACTTTATACCACAAGACGGGCAGCCAACAGTACTACACTGTGGCTGTACCTTCCCGAAGATTGTCTTTACATCAGCAAGTTTGGTGGATTGCTCTCTCTCTCTCTCTCTCTCTCTCTCTCTCTCTCTCTCTCTCTCTCTCTCTCTCTCTCTCTCTCTCTCTCTCTCTCTCTCTCTCTTAAGAAAGTGGAGAGGGGGCCAGGAGCTGTGATATGAGCTCTGCAACCACAAATAAGTAAATACAAACACACACACACACACACATACACACACACACATACATGCATACACACCCACATTCATGCACACATATGCACACGTGCACACATTCACGCATGCACACACACACGTTCACATGCACACACATTCATGCATGCACATACACAAGCAAACACACAGTCAAGCACACATCTCTCCGTGGGTCCTGAGAGAGGGTGCAGAGGCACTATGTGTACCACTAACAACAATCTTCAAAACATCTATAGAAACTGAGGTATGGAAGACGTAGACGTAGACGTAGACGTAGACGTAGACGTAGACGTAGACGTAGACGTAGTCCCAATTTTTTAAAATAAGGAGATAGACATGAAACACTAAACTATAGACCAGTGTCGCTGACATGTATAGTATGCAAAGTCATGGAGAAGATTATCAGAAGAGTGGTGGAACACCTAGAAAGGAATGATCTTATCAACGACAGCCAGCACGGATTCAGGGATGGGAAATCCTGTGTCACAAATCTACTGGAGTTCTACGACAGGGTGACAGCAGTAAGATAAGAGAGAGAGGGGTGGGTAGATTGCATTTTCTTTGACTTGAAAAAGACTTTTGACACGGTTCCACACAAGATATTAGTGCAAAAGCTGGAGGACCAGGCAGGTATAACAGGGAAGACACTGCAATGGATCAGAAAATACCTGGCAGGTGACGAGGTGTCAGAGTGGGCGCCTGTGACGAGCGGGGTTCCACAGGGGTCAGTTCCAGGACCGGTACTGTTTCTGGTAAATGTGAATGACATGATGGAATAGATTCAGAAGTGTCTCTGTTTGCCGACGATGTGAAGTTAACGAGAATTCAGCTGGAGGAGGACCAAGCAGGACGGCAAAGGGATCTGGACAGGCTACAGGCTTGGTCCAGTAACTAGCTCCTGGAGTTCATCCCCGCCAAGTGTAAAGTCATGAAGATCGGGGAAGGTCAGGGAAGACCGCAGACAGAATACAACCTAGGGTGCCAAAGGCTACTTCATCTAAGGAAAATGATCTTGGGGTGAGTATAATACTGAACATATCTCCTGAGGCACACATCAACCAAATAACTGCTGCAGCATATGGGCGCCTAGCAAACCTAAGAATAGCTTTCTGACATCTCGGTAAAGGGTTATTCAGGACTCTGTACACCGTGTACATCAGGTCTATATTAGAGTATGCAGCACCAGTTTGGAATCCACACCTGGGCAAGCACTTTAAGAAATTAGAAAAAGTACAAAGGTTTGCAACGAAACTAGTCCCGGAGATAATGGGCATGTTCTGTGAGGAGAGGTTAAAAGAAAGTGATGTTAATACAGGAGGGACAGGGTTGACATGATAAAAAAATAAAAAAACTGAGAGGAATCGACAAAGTGGACAAAGACAGGATGTTCAAGAGATGGGACACAGCAACAAGGGCTCACAGTTGGAAGTTGAAGACTCAGATGAATCACAGAGATGTTAGGAAGTATTTCTTCAGTCACAGAGTTGTCAGGAAGTGGAATAGTCTGGGAAGTGATGTAGTGGAGGCAGGATCCATACATAGCTTTAAGAAGAGGTATGATAAAGCTCACAGAGCAGGGAGTGACCCAGCAGCAAGCAGTGAAGAGGTGGGGCCAGGAGCTATGACTCGACCCCTGCAAACAACAATTAGGTGAGCACACATACACATACATACACACACACATACATGTATACATATACACACACACTCACAAAGACCATTTGACACCACCTGATATGACCACCACAAACCCTCATGAAAACCCCCAAACACCCGCACACCCCTCTCTCCTTCCCTTTCTCTCCCTCTCTCTCACACACATGCATATACAATTACACATACACACACAAATACACACACATACATTTTGTGGTAAAAAAAAAGCATCCCAGAGAGGAGGATCTGAGGGAGAGGCTCTGAAGAAAGATTGGGCAGCAGCAGAGCTGTCCAATCTTAGCCATAAAATGAAGAAGAAAATGGATGCAGAGAGCAAGAAGTGGGAGTTACAAGCTGAAGCCACAGAGTTTAGTATATGGAACTGATAGGAGGAACTGAAGATGCTGAAAGAGAGTAAAGAACCAAAGAGGAGAATGGACATGACATATGCAGAGACCCTATCAGACCACCAAGGAACCTGCAAAAAGTCGAGGCGTGAAAGTGTCAGGCCATTGGGCACAGGAACAGCAGACAGAGTGGGGAGTGAAGAAAGGGAGGGAGGCAGGTCACCTACAGAGGTGTTATCAGACCAGAGATCCAGGAAATTGTAAGGAAAATGACAATGGAACATGAAATACAAAAACAAATGCAAGAGGCTTCAGGAGACCGAAGGGGCAACTTACGAAGTAATACGACAGGGGAGGAAAAGGGGATTGAAAATATCATGAAGGAGATAAGAGAGGAAGACATGATACAGTTGACAAGTTTTCTGAGAACAGATGGGGCCTTGACTGCAACAGAACATGACAGAAAGTGAAAGAGACGACACAAAGATGCATAGAGCAGGAAAGAGAGTCAAGGATGGAGATGGGCAGGGGAACCCAGGGGTAAGCAAAACCTCCCTCAGAATCACCCACAGAAAACCCTCAACCCCGACAACCCCACCTAACTAATCCAAAACAACCCATACTCTGTACACATAGCCCCCACTCCTTCCACCACAAACTCCACCTACACAGCAGCCCCCCATAGTATCTTGCCAGGTCTCTGACTCCCACAATCACAGCAAACCCACCTGACCACAGTATTAGAAAAGAAGCTGAAAGTTTGGTATACTAGTGCAGATGGAATAACAGATAAATGTGAGGAGTGGCATGAAAGAATCATGGAGGCATCCCCAGACATCATAGCATTCACAGAAGCAAAGCTTGAAGGGATAACAGATGTGATCTTTTCATCCAGATATCAGATCCTGAGGAAAGACAGGAAGCAGGTGGGTAGGAGTGGCACTGCTCATCAAAAACCGATGGAGATTCAAGGAAGTGGCAGGAATGGACAGGGTGGGAAGTGATGAGTGTCCCTCCGACCGGTTGTCAGCCACTTGAATTTCAGTTCCCGTCAAATCTCCTTGATTCTCAGCTTGGGTCATCTGACACAGTCGAGATAAGAGGGGCAGCACTGATCTTGAAAAGATCTGACAGTCAGTCTGGCATCTGTCCCTACAATGGTACCCCTTCCACTAGTAGCCGACTCACAATCTGCAACACACCATTCTAGAAGCTGCTCCACAGTTCTAACCCACCAACGTTTCATGGTGGTTCTCTACTGGCGGCTCAACTGCTTCACAAGTGTTGTGGTGGTCAGAGGATCCCAGTACCTCTGTTCCTCAGAATTTCTACTTGTGTTGGGGTCACTTTCTACTCAGTGTGTCAAGAGTCACATCCACCTGTGACCCCCCTCCCCCTCATCGTCGTCAACAACGGCTCGGCATTCCAAACCAGGATTCAGAGCTACGTGCCCACAACATCGGCACGGCACCATTCTTCACTACATATTGTGTACATATTAGCTTTGAATCACTATTTATATATTTAAATACACGTATCTCATTTAGTTTTCTATAACTGAGTACTTGGAATTTGTCTTCATTGAACATCATATTGCCCGTTGCCCATTGGAAAACTTGGTTTATATCTTCTTGGAGGTTAATTAACCGTGTCCTCAATAGATGACAGTCTCATGCAGCTCCTAGTATCGGCTGCAAAGGATGACATGGTGCTGTGGATTAAATCTGTCTATGTCTGATATTAGGATGAGGAACAGGATGGGGGCGAGTACTGTGCCTTGTGGGACAGAGCTTTTCACTATGGTAGCTTCCGATTTAACTCTGTTGACCACTACTCTTTATGTTCGATTGGTTAGAAAGTTGAAGATCCATCTCCTCACTTTGCAAGTTATTCCTTTAGCACGCATTTTGGGCGCTATTACCCCATGATCGCACTTGTCAAAGGCTTTTGCTAAGTCTGTGTATATTACATCTGCATTCTGTTTTTCTTCCAGTGCATCCAAGGCCATATCATAGTGATCCAGTAGTTGTGAGAGGCAGGAGCGACCTGCCCTGAACCCATGTTGCCCTGGATTGTGCAGTTTTTGGGAATCCAAGTGGTTTGCAATCCTGCTTCTTAGCACTCTTTCGAAGATTTTTATGATGTGGGACGTTAGAGCTATTGGTCTATAGTTCTTAGCTAATGGTTTGCTGCCACCTTTATGAAGTGGGGCTATATCCGTTATTTTAAGTGACTGTGGAATTTCACCCATGTCTAAGCTCCTTCTCCATAGTATACTTAGGGCACGTGAAAAGGGTTTCTTGCAGTTCTCAATGAACACAGAGTTCCATGAGTCTGGGCCCGGGGCTGAGTGCATAGGAATGTTGTCAATGGCTTTCTCAAAGTCTATCAGAGTTAGAGTAATGTCGGAAATCTACATACAGTGATGGAGTTTTGAGGCTCATTCATGAAAAAAAAAATTGGACTGTCGATCTTTAGACTGACTAGTGGTTCGCTAAACACAGAGTCGTATTGAAATTTCAGTATCTCACTCATTTCTTTGTTGTCATCTGTGTAAGTCCCATCTTGTCTGAGCAAGGGCCCGATACCAAATGAGGTATTTGCCTTGTTTTTGGCGTATGAAAAGAAATATTTCTAATTTTTTTCAATGTCTCTAATTGCTTTTAGTTCCTCCTGTCTCTCCTGCGTCTTGTAAGAGTCCTTTAACTTAAGTTCAATACTTTCCACTTCCCTGCTCAGCGCTTCCGTGTATCAGATAATCTAACGTTCTTGAAGAGCTCAGTGATTCTTCGTCGTCCTCTGTAGAGGGAGCGTCTTTCCCTCTCCAGTCTACGTCTTCTCTTCTTTCTTAGGGGAATATGCCTTGAACATACTTCAAACCTGGTAAACCTAAGAATAGTGTTCCAATGCCTCAGTAGGGAATCATTCAAGACTTTGTACACCGTGTACGTCAGGCCTATACTGGAGAATGCAAACTAGTTTGGAACCCACACCTGGTAAATACATCAAGAAAATACAGAAGGTGCAAAGGATTTGCAACAAGATTAGTCTTGGAAATGTCCTACAAAGAATGATTAAGGGAAATCGACCTGACGACATTGGAAAACAGGAGGGTTAGGGGGAGACATGATAATGACATAAAATACTGCGAGGAACTGACAAGGTGGGCAAAGACAGGATGCCCCAGAGATGGGACACAGCACAAGGGGTCATAATTGGAAGCCGAAGACTCAGATGAATCAAAGAAATGTTAAGAAATATTTCATCTGTCATAGAGTTGTTAGGAAGTGGAATAGTCTTGAAAGTAAAGTAGTGGAGGCAGGAACCATACGTAGCTTTAAGATAAGGTATGATAAGCTCATGGAACAGGGAGAGAGAGGACCCAGTAGCGATCAGTGAAGAGGCAGGACCAGGAACTTTGAATCGATCCCTGCAACCACAGTTAGGTGAGTACACACAGTACTCGCTAAGGCCCAGCTGAGAGACCGTAAGAGACAGTACTCACCAAGACCCAGCTGAGAGACAGTACTCACCAAGACCCAGCTGAGAGACAGTACTCACCAAGACCCAGCTGAGAGACAGTACTCACCAAGACCCAGTTGAGAGACAGTACTCACCAAGACCCAGTTGAGAGACAGTACTCACCAAGACCCAGCTGAGAGAGTACTCACCAAGACCCAGCTGAGAGACAGTACTCACTAAGACCCAGCTGAGAGACGGTACTCACCAAGACCCAGTTGAGAGACGGTATTCACCAAGACCCAGTTGAGAGACAGTACTCACCAAGACCCAGTTGAGAGACAGTAAATCCTAAACCCAGTTGAGAGACAGTACTCACTAAGACCCAGCTGAGAGACAGTACTCACCAAGACCCAGTTGAGAGACAGTACTAACCAAGACCCAGCTGAGAGACAGTACTCACCAAGACCCAGTTGAGAGACAGTACTCACCAAGACCCAGTTGAGAGACAGTACTCACCAAGACCCAGTTGAGAGACAGTACTAACCAAGACCCAGCTGAGAGACAGTACTCAGCTAGACCCAGCTGAGAGACAGTACTCACCAAGACCCAGCTGAGAGACATACTCACCAAACCCAGTTGAGAGACAGTTTCTCAGCTAGACCCAGCTGAGAGACAGTAACTCACCAAAAAACCCAGCTGAGAGACAGTACTCACCAAGACCCAGTTGAGAGACAGTACTCACCAAGACCCAGCTGAGAGACAGTACTCACCTAGACCCAGCTGAGAGACAGTACTCACCAAGACCCAGCTGAGAGACAGTACTCACCAAGACCCAGCTGAGAGACAGTACTCACCTAGACCCAGCTGAGAGACAGTACTCACCAAGACCCAGCTGAGAGACAGTGAGAGACAGTACTCACCAAGACCCAGCTGAGAGACAGTACTCACCAAGACCCAGCTGAGAGACAGTACTCACCAAGACCCAGCTGAGAGACAGTACTCACTAAGACCCAGCTGAGAGACAGTACTCACTAAGACCCAGCTGAGAGACAGTACTCACCAAGACCCAGCTGAGAGACAGTGAGAGACAGTACTCACCAAGACCCAGCTGAGAGACAGTGAGAGACAGTACTCATCAAGACCCAGCTGAGACACAGTACTCAGCTAGACCCAGCTGAGAGACAGTGAGAGACAGTACTCACCAAGACCCAGCTGAGAGACAGTGAGAGACAGTACTCACCAAGACCCAGCTGAGACACAGTACTCAGCTAGACCCAGCTGAGAGACAGTGAGAGACAGTACTCACCAAGACCCAGCTAAAGAACAGTGAGAGACAGTACTCATCAAGACCCAGCTGAGACACAGTACTCACCAAGACCCAGCTGAGAGACAGTGAGAGACAGTACTCACCAAGACCCAGCTGAGAGACAGTGAGAGACAGTACTCACCAAGACCCAGCTGAGAGACTCGGAGACCAGACTTGCCAAGTGGCTTGTATCGTAGACTGGAGACCAGAGATGACTGTCTGGAGACGATAGCCTGGGAGTCACTTCTGGTAGAGACATGATCACCTCCACAGCCAGTCAAGTCCTCCATGCACTCCAGTGAGGCTATGGGCGCCCTCCTGTGGGAGGAGAGAACCAGGGAGTTAGTGGAGGCAGGCAGGAGTTGCAGGAGAGTGGGAGTCTTACCTGCCAACAGAGAGAGAGAGAGAGAGAGAGAGAGAGAGAGAGAGAGAGAGAGAGAGAGAGAGAGAGAGAGAGAGAGAGAGAGAGAGAGAGAGAGAGAGATTTCACATATTCCACGTATACACTTTATTACAAATTTGGAAAAGTCCGGTTAAAGCGTCAGGTGCTGTAAGTGGTATTATGGCAGGTTGAAAAAATCTTAATTAGTAGTCACTGAGCTTTGTGAGTTGAAATTTGTTAATCCAGACTCACTCTCTCTCTCTCTCTCTCTCATCCTCTCTCACTCACTCTCTCTCTCTCTCTCTCACTCACTAGCTCGCCTCATCATTAGTTTCACTCTTTCACTAGCTCACTCTCTCACTTGCTCATTCTTTCACTAGCTCACTCTCTCACTAGCTCACTCTCTCACTAGCTCACTCTGTCATTCTCTCACTAGCTCACTCTCTCACTAGCTCACTCTCTCACTAGCTCACTCTCTCATTCTCTCACTAGCTCACTCTCTCACTAACTCACTCTCTCACTCTCTCACTCTCACTCTCCACTAGCTCACTCTCTTACTCTCTCACTTGCTCACTCTCTCCACTAGCTCACTCTCTCACTAGCTCAAATTCTTTCACTGCTCTTTCTCTCACTAGCCACTCTCTCACTAGCTCACTTTTTTCACTAGCTCACTCTCTCACTAACTCACTCTCTCACTAGCTCACTCTCTCACTAGCTCACTCTCTCACTAGCTCATTCTTTCACTTGCTCTTTCTCTCACTAGCTCACTCTCTCACTAGCTCACTCTCTCACTAGCTCACTCTCTCACTAACTCTCTCACTAACTCACTCTCTCACTAACACTCACTAACTCACTCTCTCAACTAACTCACCTCTCATCACTAACATCACCATCTTCCGCTAACTCAACTATCTCTCACTAACACTCCACTAACTCACTCTCATCTAACATAATCATCACAACTCAACACTAACACTCACAACTCACCTCACTCACTAACTCACATCATCAAAACACAAACTCTCACTAACTCACTCTCCTCACTAACTCTCCACTAACTCACAATCTCTCACCAAACATCCACTCTCTCAACTAACTCTCAACTAACACTCTCTCTCAACTAACTCACTCTCTCACATAATCTCTCTCAACTAAACTACACTCTCTTCACTAACTCTACTCTCCTCACTAACTCACTCTCTTCACTAACTCTCACTAACACACTCTCTCACATAACTCACTCTCAAAACTCAACTAAAACTCACTCTCGACTTCACTAACTCACTCTCTACACTAACCTCACACTAAACTCACTCTTCACATAACTCACTCTCTCACTAACTCTCCCTAACTACACTACATCTACACAAAGCTCACTCCTCACTAACTCAACTCTCTCACAAAAAATCTCACTAACTCACGTCCTTCTCATCATAACTCTCACTTAACTTTCACCATCTCTCACTAACTCACTCTCTCACTAACATCACTCTCCTCACATAAAACTCTCACTACCCATCACTCTTCTCAGCTATCTATCACTAAACTAATCAACATCTCTCAGCTAACTCTACACTAACTTCACTCTCACACTAACTCACACAAACTCAGCTACTCTCACCTAACTCACTCTCTTCACTAAACTCTCACAAACTACACTCACTCTAACAGCACTAACCACCTCTCTCACTAACTCTCACTCAACTCCCTCTCTTTCACTACATCAATCTCACTTCACTAAAGCGCTCAACTATACTCACTCTCTCCTAACTACTCTCCTAACTCACTCTCTACACTAACTCACTCTCTCACTAACATCTCAACTCCTCACTAGAAACACACTCTATCACACTAACTCACATCTCTCACTAACTCACTCTCTCACTAACTCACTCTCCTCACAACACTCTCACTAACTCACTCTCTCACTAACTCACTCTCATCACTAACCACGATCTCTCACATAACTCACTCACCACTAACATCTCACTCACTCACATCTCTCACTAACCACTCTCACACTAACTCTCACTAACTCACTCTCATCACTAACTCTCACTACACACTCTATCACTAACTCATCAACTAACTCACTCTTCTCCACTAACTCTACACTAACCTCACAAACACACGATCACTAACTCCAACTAACTCACTCGCTCTCTCACTAAACTCTCACTAAACTCAACTCTCTACCAACTAACTCTCACTAACATCACAATCATCTCACTAACTCATCAATAACTCACTCTCTACAGCTAACTCTCACTAACTCACTCTCAATCACTAACTCACTCTCCTCACTAACCCTCACTAACTCACTCTCTCACTAACTCAAACTCATCTCACTACTCTCCACATAACTCACACTTCTCACTAACTACACTCAGCCTCAACATAACTCAACTTCTCACACTAACTCAACATCTCTTCTACTAAACCTCTCACTAACTACAAAACTCTCTCACTAAAACTCTCCTAACTCACTCTCTCACTACACATCATCACTCTCGTCACTAACTCACTCTCTCACTAACTCACTCTCTCACTAACCACTACTCTCACTAAACACTCACTACTCACTCTCTCACTAACTCACATATCTCTTGTCCAAAACTCTCACTAACTCACTCTCTCACTAACACACCACTCATATCATCGACTAACCAATACTACTCACTAACTCCTACACTAACTCACTCTCCACTAAACTCAACTACCTCTCACTAACTCACTACATCTCAACTAACATCCACTCTCTCACTAAACATCTCAACGTAACATCTCTACTCTCACTAACTCACTACTCATCACTCTAAACTCTCACTAACTCACTCTCTCAACTAAAAACTCACTCTCTACAACTAACTCTCTACTAACTCACTCAACTCATCACTAAACTCACTCTCTAAAAACAAACTCACTCTCCTCACTTAACTCACTTCTCTCACTAACTCTCACAATAACTCACTCTCATCACTAACTACCCGTCTCATCACAACGTCTCACTAATACATCACTACTCTCACTAACTCACTCTCATCACTCAACTCACTTCTCATCACTAAACTCAACTCTCTTCACTAACTCTCACTAACTCACTCTCTATCACTTAACTCACTCCTCTCACTAATCTCTCACTAACTCACATCTCTACACTAACTACACTTCTCTCTCACTAACCTCACTAACTCACTCTCCACTAACTACTCTCACTAACTCACTCACCAAATCACTGAACAATCACCCTCTCACTAGCAATTGGCTAGTTAGTCGACTCACTCTGTCACAATTATAGCACAAATCCACCATCTGACGGAGTAGTTCGACACAGAACATACTAATCACATAATCTCTCACTAACTTCTCACTAACTCACATCACTCACTAACTATCTCACAAACTCACATCTCTCACTAAATCTCACTAACTCCCACTCACTCAAACCCACTTAACTCACTCTACTTTCACTAAACTCTCACTAACTCACTAAGCTCCTCGTCAACTAACTCACTCTCTTACTAACTCTCACTAACTCACTCCTCTCACATAACTCACTCCTCTACACTAACTCTCACTAACTCACTCTACTCACTAACTCTCACTAACACACTCTCACCCCTCCCCATCACTAACTCACATCTCGTCAACTAACACTACGCACTAAACTCACTCTCTTACTTCACTAACTTCACTCCTCACTAACTCACTCTCAGTCACTGAACTCACTCTCCCATCAACAAACTCTACACTAAACATCACCTCTCCACTAACTCACTCTCTTCACTAAACTCATGAACTACACTCTCTCACTAACTCATCTCATTCACTAACTCTCCTCCTAAACTCACGTCTCCAACAAACTCAACTCTCAAATCACTAACTCTCAACTAACTCACACTCATACACTAACTCACTCTCTCACTAACTCACATCTCTCACTAACTCACACTCTCACTAACCTCACACTACAACTCACTCTCATCACTAACTCAATCTCTCACTACTCTCACTAACACTCAAATCACTCTCTCAATAACATCACTCTCTCTCACTAACTACCACTACTAACTCACTCTCACCTCACTAACTCACTCCCTCTCACTAACTCTCAACCTCTCACATAACTCACTCTCTCTCAACTAAACTCACAATCTCCACTAACTCACTCCTCACAAACACACTCTCTCCCACTAACTCACTCTCTCACTAACATACACTCTCTCACTAACTCTCACTAACTCACTCACTTTCTCACTAACTCCTCACTAACTCACTCTCTCACTAACCTCAACTCTCTCACAACTCACTCTCACTCACTAATCTCAGCTCTCTCACTAACTCACATCTCTCACTAACCTCACTAACTCACCTCTCTCACTACTAACTCACTACTCCACTAAACTCTCACTAACTCACTCTCTCAACTAACTCAACTTAACTCTCACTAACTCAACTTCTCTCACTAACTCACATCTCTCACTATCTCACTCTCTCACTACAAACTCACTCTCGTCACAAACTCCCTCCTCACTAACATCACTTCTCATCACTAAACATACACCACTACCACTAACTCACATCTCTCACTAACTCTCACTAACTCAACTCTCTCCTAACTCTCACTAACTCACTCTCCTCCACTAACTCCACTCTCTCACTAACATCACACTCCCTCACTAACTCACTCTCCATCACTACTCATCACAAACTCACATCTCTCACTAACTCTCACTACTCACCTCTCACATAACTCTCCTAACTCACTCTCTCACTAACTCACTCTCATCACTAACTCAACTCTCACACTAACTCTCCACTAATAACTCACTCTCTCTCACATAACCACCTCGACTAACTCAACTCTCTCACAAACTCTCACTAACAATCACTACTCATCACTAAACTCTCAAACAACATCACTACTCACTCATCT